AAACCTGCGGGGAACTCTGCAAAAAACGCATCTTCGCACGGTCAGCCCGTGCGTTGGCCATTTATTTAAGTTAAGGGAATTAACAGGGATGGAGAGGAGGAGAATTATCCCTAGTGAACTCGTAAGTATAAAATCGGCTGGTTCTAAATGCTGCTGTACTTCAAAGCTGCTTTAATACACTGTTCCACAAAAGATCGAAATTTTGAAGATAATTACAAGGCAGAGTGAGTGGACGAGAGAGGAAAAGGAGAGGAAGGAGGAAGCAGCACCGTAGAATAAAACAATCAAATAAAGCGGGGAAAAACGAACTAAATCAAATGCTTACTGCACTTTCGACGCCCCTGAAATGCTTTTTGCTGCAGTTATACCAACTGCTGCAGTTTTCATATGAAAATCTGTTACTGTCAGAGTCTTCGCCAAATCGTCCTCCTCATCTGCAACAGATTGTATGTAGTAAATATGCACAAATATACAGACTGCATTTCCTGACCGACATTCCAGCTATCCCAACCAGAGTCTTTCTATGCCATAGAGCCTTTTCCAACTGTTCATTTGATCCCACTTTTCTCACCTGTTTCTTTCATTCTTACATAATTTTTAATTCGATTACTACGCCCAAGGGGACAACTAGTAGCTTTTTGACGAGACTCTGGTTAGCACTGCAACCGGAGTCTGGTACCTGCGGAAACTCCTACAGAATAAGTCCTAACGCATCTCCTTCTACGTCTGTTATCCGTCAGCTTAGGATCAACATACGCACAGTAGCTTAGGATCAATAACATGTAGGTTGAGGTACAGAAACAGAAACCTAGCAGTACGGTTTGAAAAAGGAGGGCATGGAAACGATCAACTGAACCGAATGGTTCAGAATAAGTTACAGCAACCGTTGGAAGGTTAGCAGCTAAACAATGATGAGATGCGCTGCGCTGGAACAATAGCTGTTTAGGCCTTTGAAATTCTCTAAAAAAAATAAAAAAAAAAAAAAACGAGAAAGGGTTTGCTAAACTGATGCAAATGCAAGTTTGGTCGAAACACTCCGTGGCAAATGTACAATTTTTTCTTGACAAGGCTC